GCAATGGAGCAGAGACTCCCATGAGCAGGACCAGCATCCCCCCTCTGCTCATGGCCGCCTGCTCCCCATGGCAGAGTACCCAGATGATGTGGGTCGTGGTTCCTGGCCTGACTCTGGTGGAATGAGAGACCCAGTGGCTCTTAAATACCAAGTCCAGGATTTGTCACATAGAAAGCTCAAGTTCAGACCTCAGTTGGCTAAATGCTGGGCTCGCCACAGCGGGCGGGGCTTCCCATCCCTTCCTGGCCCCAGACACAGGGTGTCCCAGACCAGGGGCATCGTCAGCACTGCCACTGAGTGTGGCCCAGCACCCCTAGCCCAGCTACCGAGAATCTGGTGATGGCTTTCCCAGGAGGCAGGGCAGCCTTGGCGCTGCTTCCCAGCCAGGACCTGGCTACTCAGAGATAGCGGCTTGGTCCCAACACCACAGGGAGGCGAGGAGGCCAGGTAATTCAAGGCTCAGATGAGAAGTCCCACCTTCTGAGGCAGTGGGACCGACAGCCAAGGCACTAAATGGTTTGGCACCTGGGAGCTTCAAGTAAAGTTGAGTGTGCTGCCCACCGAAGGACAGGGGTGGGCCTCCCAAACACAGAGGCCATCGGGCAAGAGCACCCTAACCACGCCTGCTGTTACCCTTCATCTCAGAGCCAGCCAAGGCAGGACAGGAAAGGTAATGAATACAGATTCTGAAACACACACTCCAGGACCTCCGTCCAGAGTCCCTCAGAGCCCCCGTGCTCCAACCAGGCAGCTTCAGCCATCAGGAGCTCCCTCGGGCCTGTGACATGGTCTCCCTGATGTCTCAGGGGCAGCAAAGCTCTGTTTGCGATTAGGTTTGACTTTTTGAAACAGCAAAACTGAGAGTCAAATCAAGTCCAGAAAAGGGGAATCGACCTGGATGGTGCCCGAAGGGGACAGTAGGTGACTGGAGAGTAACGGTGACAGATGTGCCTGAATGGCTCCAGTGGGCTACGGACGACAGCATCGGGAGGGGAAGGGCCACTGAAACGCTTCAGGCAGGGCAGCCGCTACGGACAAGCAAGGGCCTGGCAGCCAAGAAAGGGAAAGGCTCTGGCTCTTGGGCAGAACAAGATGGGGTGCCCGACTCTAATCAGACCTCAATTTGGTCCCCTGGCTTCCTGCACCCCCCAGCAAGACTATTCAGGACCCTGTGCTTCTTTCAAGATGCAACTTTTTGCCAAGAGGGAGCCCTCCAGAAAGATGGAATTCACCCCAAGTCTTTTCAACCCAAGATCCAGCTTATGACCTAAATACTCTATTTCCTGGTCCCCCCTCTGGCCCAGCGCTGCCACATCCACAAGTCAGCCCATCTGCGAAGCTGCCAGCGAGGACGCTGCTGAAGATGCCTGCCACCACCCCATCTCACTACAAATCCCATCTGGGTGACAAAAGCTACTGCCCTACGCAGGCAGAACTCTGTTGTCACCCTGTGAGGGGCTGCCAGCTGTCCTCCTGCCAGCAGAAGCCCTCACCAACACCCAGACTGCAAGGGGCGACTGCGCTCCTCAGTCTGGGAAAAGCTCGGGAATCTGCTCTGTGACTTCCCTGGGAGTCACATCCCTGCCAGGGACGAGGGACAGGAAGTTCTGGCTTTGGAGAGACCAAGACGAGGGTGAGTAAGGAGGGAGTCGTCAAGCGATGCCCCAGTAGCCAGAGGTGGGCGCAGGGTGGGCCGTTGGGACAATGCAAAAGACGCGCTCTCTGAAGGGCCCATCCCTGAGTTGATTTTCAGTTGAGGTCTTGCTAATTTCAACCAAAAAAAAAAAGTATCTCATCGATTTATCATTAAGCTCCAGCTCCGAGGAGGTGCATTCTGCAGGAGCCCAGAGCCTAAGACGTGAGCCTCCTGGGCTCCCCACCTCCCAGGTGCCAGCCCGCCCACGTGGGCACGACGGGCCACTTCCCCCTGGGGAAGCTCCAGCTCCAGTCCCCAAACATCAACGCAGGCCCTCCTGCAAAATACTTAACAGCAAACGGCTTTACAGTATTTGTACATTTACACAAAAATAGACCCTTTTATATATATATGTATTTATAACTGGTTACACATTGGCATCGCCAGTAGTAGTTGGCACAGTTTGTCACGTAAGCTCGGGGTCAGGTTCCGTTTCGATAACAAAGGCATTTCTTCTCCATGTTGTTTTCTTAAATAAGTAGAGTCCTAGGAAACCGTATGTACAGACGGCCGGAGCCCCTGTCCTACAGTGGGCGGGGTCCAGGGTGTGGGTCAATGCGGCCGGCTGCTGGACTCCGAGGCCTGCCTCTTGCGGGCAGGGGTGTAGCCGTTGAGATAGCCGTTGGTCTGCCGCTTGGAAAGCCCTCCATTGAGAATGTCCTGAATGTGCTGCACAATGAGGTTGATGGCCACTGGGGGGCAGAGGCGAGCAAGCGTTAGGGACGCCTGGAGCAGAAGGTAACTCAACCTCCCCAAGCCCCCCATGGGGCTGGTGTGACCCCCCCACTGGAGAGTTCCCAGAGTAAGACAGGCAATGCCTGGGACACAAGACACCCTTAATAAATGGCTTCTTATCAGACGGTCAGAGTCATGGTGGCATGAAAGCCATCAGCCCAAACCCTGCAGGTGCGAGGACTGGCCCCTCTGACACCATCCATGAGCTGTGACCCGTCCGCTGGGAAACCTCCCAGCTCTCCATCCCAAGCAGAGCAACCCATGGGAGGCCTCTCCTCCAAAGATGATCTAACATGGGACTCTCCTTTCTTATCATTAGAAACGAATTATGCACATAACTAATTACAGCACCAAACCCAGACAGGCATCAAGTGCTTTCTGGGGTGATGCACAAAGAACAAAACGTCTCCCAAGTGTTGTCCAGGTTGTGCCAACTCAACCCAGTTGTGGGGACCCAAAGACAAACCCAGGTGGAGGGCTATCCTACAAAACTCCACTGTCCTAAAAAAGGACAGGCTGAGCCCAGCTGGCGTGGTGCAGCGGTAGAGCACTGACCTAGGACCCAGGAGATCAAGGTTCGACTCCCAATCAGGACACATGCCCAGGTTTCAGGCTCGATCCCCAGTGGGGGGCCTGTCTCTTATACACATCTAGATGTNGGGGGGGGGGGGGGGGGGCGCAGGAGGCAGCCGATCAATGACTCTCTCATCATTGATGTTTCTCTCTCTCCCCCTCTGAAATCAATAAAGAAATATTTAAAAAAAAAAAAAAAGGTTGAGGGAAGTCAGGAAATAGTGAAACAGTCACAGCTGTGACAAATTCTCAAATGGCTCAGCAAAAATTAAACATTTCAAATGGAGAAAAATTGAAATAAAGTATAAAGAGAGTGAGAAGGCAGGGTGTTTGCACACCTCTGATTTCGGCCAGAGAATAAGAGTCCACATGTGTGCCACGTATATAGGTGCACATTCACAGGGGACAGTGTCCAAGGCCGCCGGGGGGGTAGAAATTCCTTTCCGTGGGTCAGCCACTCTGTAGAGCCTCGCTTGGTCACCACGCCCTGCCCCTAAGTACGATGCCCCACCAGGACTCACCTAGATTGTCTACACCTCTAGGAATGATCACGTCTGCATATTTCTTTGTCTGCAAAAAAAGATATTTACAATGCATTAAAGAGGAGTTCAGAGAGAAACTGACCCACACCCCTCTCTGAGGGAATGTGGGGAAGGGGCAGCCTTCTCTCTACAGACCCCAGAGGAAGCAGCCTCAGGCTTCAAATGTACTTTTTACCAGCTTTATCTAAATTATAATAAGTCAACTCTGGCCAGGTAGCTCAGTTGGTTAGAGTGTCGTCCCAATATGCGAAGGCTGCAGGTTCAATCTCAGGTCAGGGCACATATAGAATATTTCTCTCCCCATCCCCTCTCAAATCAATCAATCAATCAATCAATCAACCAACCAGCTTTTCCTCGAGATCTCATTACTAACATTCAACATGGTTTCAGTTAGAACCTACTCAGAGAACATGGTCTTTGAAACCAAATCTGCAACTGTTTCCTCACCACAAGGAAAAGTATGAATCAGTGAAGCCCAGACTTCCCAGGGAGCAGGCCGGCTTGGAATCCTCTGCAGCCTGTCCAGCTCTAGGGTAAATCCAGAGAAAGTTGGCCCCATCTCACTGGCTGTTATTACACTATTTTTTTTAAAGGGTACAATTAACACAAAATCCTTTTTTATTTAATTTACTGAGATTTTGTGAACCATTTTCCAAAGAGCTGTGTCGAGGTGTATAACCCAGGTTTACGGTAAGACCACATAAACAACACGAGCATCTTAACCCTGTGCAGTGTCCAAACTAGAACGAGTGAAACACAACTGTGTCAGGGCCTCGACCCAAGCCGACCTGAGCAATCGGGTCCAAGCTCCGGGCTCACACAGGAGCAACCGGGTCTCCCTGAGCACCCAGAGAATGGATGGTGGAAATGAAACAACCCAGAAAATCTTTGTGCAGAATTCTGAGCCCCGACGCAACTAAGTTAAACAGTGGAAAACTGGCAGTTAACTCTAATTTACACCCACTAATAAAACTTAGTTTGTGTCCTGATTATTATGTGAACAAGAGGAGTGGTCCTCAGACAGACAGCTGGATGATGGGTAGAATTTCAGGCTGCCAGGCTGCTCTGCCCTGTTCCCAGAAACCTAAGCCTGTAACCCAGTCCTCGAGGTTCCCATGCTGGCTCAGAGTCTGCCTCACTCCGATCGGAAACAGTCAAGGCCCTTCTGATGCAAGACCTGCTAACAGACAGAGGAACAAAGGCAGCCTGGAAGCTTGTTTTTCCAGGAAAGGAGAAAGGACCTCGGCCTCACTCTGTACCTCTTCTCATAGCCCCCAGGCCCCCACAATATCACCCAAACCAAAATGAGCCCCACCCTCTCCCCTTCTCAGAGCTGAATTATAAATCCTTAAGGAGCTAGACGAGGGCTTGGTCAACCTGGGGAACACACATGACTGGGTGTGGAAGTCCCCTTCCTCCACTGCAGGCCGCCCCCCAACACCTGGCCCCTGGTGGTCTCCCTCAGTATTTACTGTCCTTCCCCAGGAAGCTGAGGACTCCCCCTGCCCCCACCTTTCTGCTCTGAAGGCCTCCTCGCTGCAGGGCTGCACCAGGGCAGACGTGCGAAGCTTCCCCAGCATGGCACCCTTCCCAGTGGGGACGCATCAGGGCCACACGAGCTCACAGCAGGCTCAGCTGCAGTGACAAGGATCAGGGGAAGACCCTGCAGTGGAGGACCCCCCCCC